CGAGGCAAGGGCCGGCGAGCACACAGGGCCGATGCTGCGCGGCGGCAGGCCCCAGTGCCGCACCGGCGTCCTGGCTGTCTCACCCATGAAGTAGCCGTGGGACTCTGCACTGGGCACAGCTTCTTCTGTTTCCTCCTCTCTTGGAGAGGGATGATCCTTTGTGAGAGGCATGTTCTTGTCTGGGGGACGGGGCCCGGGGCCTGGGGAAGGCTTGGACTCTCTGGTCCCAACAGTAACAAGTGTGTTTTGGACTGCTGTCCACAGGCACTCCCATGACATGTCCGCATGACAGCACATTCCCCTGCTATGTGTCAAACGTCTTTTGATTCATTGAGAAGAAAACTTGCTGGCCTTGACCCATATGTTGATTTCATTAACTTGTTAATATTTGAAAAACATCGAAGGCCTTGAGGTTCCTAAATTTATTTTGTGGTTTGGGGGAATGGGAGGGGAGAGTGCCCTCTGCAGCTCCGCCGTCTCTCCACTGAGGGTCAGTAGTGACTCCGTCTTGCACGGGCCCGTCCCTGGGTCCCATGTGCCGAAGCCATTCTCCGCGCGTCCTGTCTTTCCCACCCCCGCCACAGTGAGAGTCATCCTGAGTCCTGTTCCGCACGATGCCCTCTGAATCCCCTCCTCTGTGCTTTCTCCTTCCACTTTTAGTGTGCTCCAGGGCCAGCACCCAGTCAGGGACGACTGTGGCACGCGCGGACTGGTGCCCCCTCCCTGCCCGGGTACGCGTTCTGTCCCCGACTTCCAGCCATGACACCTGGGCAGTCTTCACCTAGGGCCCGGTGTGACAGTGCACCCCATCTGGACACAGCAAGTGTGCAGTAAATGTTAGCTGTTGGTGTGTGATGGTCCGTTCTGCTAGAGCACCCTAGCCAGCACTCACTAAAAAAAACAAAACAAAAATTACATTACCAACAGACATGTTATATTAAAAAAGTAATTTGTTTCAATTAGCAAAGCAGGTTAGAAGCTAGAAATTGAAACTTGCCTTTCCCCACAAGCAGCTCAATAGGAAACACAATGTTTCTAGATTTGGGGACAGATAACAGCATCTAAACATGAAGTGACCCCAGCCTCAGATTCTAGGGAGTTTCTGTAGAGGGCGGTGTCGCTGCAGGAGCTGTTTCAGCCCTCCACTCTCTAGACCACCCGCAGGCCTGGGCCTGGACGGATGTCTTCATGGAGCAGATGGGACCCTCTGGGCCCCACATGCACCCCTCACACCTCGCCATCCTGTGGCCTCGGCATCTGGGGGTCTGACCACTCCTGCCCCACAGTCCTCTTCTTCCTGGGTACCTGGCTACTCTTGTCTGGGTTCTTCTCAATGTGGAGTGTGTTTCCCATCTTGAGGCAAAGACTCCCCTCAACTGGACCATTCCATGGTGACTGCTGCCCACCACGTCTCTTCATTCAGGCTGCTGAACTGGCCGGAACTCTGTCCCACGCCATGGCCCACACCCCTTCGCTGACTGCCTCCTGGACTGCTCAGAGCCCTGACAGCCTTGACCATCTCCTGGGTGGCTCCCTTGACCTGGTGAAATCCTTTCCCCCTTCTCTGAAGCTGTGAAATACTGAGCCCACAGGGCTCGTGGCAGGGCTCCCACGCCCTCTCCCATGTGTGCACGTGTGCTCTGTCGTGGGTACAGAGAGACAGTGCCGGGCTCTGTCAAGCCGGGACCGGAGCCCTCCTGCCGTGTACTCCACCCTGCAGTCCCCTTGTTGACAACCGCGGGACTGGGCGCAGTCTGGGATGTGACATTTGCCTCTTGGCTGAGCTCAGGACCCACCTAACTCTCCACCTGGGTGTTCCGGTAGCGCCCTGCACTGAGTCAAAAGGAACCGTGACCTCTGTCCCCCTTCACACACGTGACCCCTTCCATCCGTCATACGGTCTGTCATTTAAATCTCACCCTCTGTAGCTGGCCACTGACCTCCCTGTGGCACAGTCTGGTTCTCGCAAACCCATGCGTCAAACTTCAGCCCCAATGATCTTAACCAAATCACAGGTGCACTGTGTCACCCTAGACCGAGCCACCATGGCTCGTAGGGTAAAGTCCAGAATTCTCAATGGGATCCACAGCGTCCGCCTGGTCTGGCCACTGCCTCCTCTGGACCACCGTCTTCCCTCATCCTCCCATCTCTGCTCTGACCTCATTGGCTGCCTTCTCATCCACACCATGACGGCCACCATCCAGTGAGCATCTAATCGTCTTTGCTGGCTCCGTCACCCTCGCCCCAGTCTAGGTCTAGTCTTGTGGGATCAGGCCATCCAGGTGCATCAGCTTGTCATTGCATGATCCCAAAAGGGGGCATTCAGTTAGCACCCCTCCCAGCATGGTTGCTGCCTGCATGCTGCTTGCTCAGGGACCTGGTGTCGCTCACCTGCAGCTGCAGAGCTCGGCACTGCACTGGGCTCCCAGTAAGCACCCCAGGAGCAGGAGGAGCCAGGTACTTCCACCACCCCCTGAATGGTGAGTGAGCCACGCTTCACATGAAGCCACGGAGACAAGCCTGTAGCTTCGTTTCCCCAGGGCTGGGGTGAGTCCCTGATGGCGACACCTCTGGGTGGGTGCACACACACTCTCAGCTAGCGTGCCTCGCCTTTTTCTGGTTTTTGCATCCTTTATTCACATACAGCTCGTATAAGTATGTACATCCTGGAACACAACAACATAGACGAATAAAAAAGGACAAGCTGAGAAACACTGGAAGCCCTAATATTTTTCCTCCTCCCCAGTAGATCGTCTCGTGGCCCGTCTAGGCCGCTGGTCTGAGTAATTGTCCTGTTTGGTTGTGAAAGCCCGTGCTGTACAGAAACGCCCTTATGAACAGACACCGCTGCTCTGCTAAGACCATCCCAGTCCAGAGTGCTGAGTAGGGACGGGGCCGGGATAGCTGGCCTGCCCGAGATGCCCAGTGCGCCGAGGGGTGGCTGCTGCTGTCAGCCTGGTGCTGCTCCACTGGGCTGTCTGTGTGCACGGATCCCCCACGGCCCCTCCCGGCAGCCGAGGTTCCCACAGAGGCCAGGCCCTGGGTCCCTCCTGCAAGTGTCCAGGGGTGGAGACCCTGGAGCGAAGACACAGCTACGGTGAGAGCCTTGTCAGCTGTAGACGAGCTGGTGGCTAGCTGCCTTTCTCGCTTTCTCCTGTTTATTTTTAGGCTAGGAACCAGTAAGAGGCAGGCTGTGCTGCGGTCCGGGAGAGCGGGGTGGGAGTGAGTCATGGGAGAGAGGCCTGCCGATGTTCCTGTGTGTCTTCAGCAAAGTTGTGCTGCCCTGCCGCCGCCTGTAAGAGTGTGTGCGCACGCGTGTGCACGTGTGGGGGTGGTGAGATAGCAGTGGGACCTGTAGTAGTAAGTTGAGGCAGGGCCCCTTAAGCAATTATCAGAGCAGTGGCCTACATTTGCCGTTTACTTCCGGATTCTTCAAGAACCGTGGTGCAGTGTTTTTGTTTGTTTGGGTTTTTTTTAATAGTGTTTTTGGTTGTATGGTATGTGTGCTTGCCAAAGAGACAGAGACAGAGAGAGAGAGAGGAAGTGAGAAATCACCCCCAATGGGGAATGGACACGCTGCAATCCCTTCTCCATTATCCTCTTGAGATTTTGGATATGCACACACACACGCCTGGCGTGAGTTTCAAGTCGCCAGGTCCGGGATTCAGACCATGACCAGCCGCGTGGCAGCCAGTGTCTTAACCACTGCACCTGCTGCTGGCCCCCGTGCTGTAGGTTCAAGGTACCCAGGCCAGCTTCTGCGTCCTGGGCTGGGTGGGGGTGGAACGAGAGCTGCTTCAGAGGGTGGTAATTACCTGTGTTCTGGGGCCCAGTTGGGGTGGCAGAATGTGACAGAAAGACTCGAGGAAAGGTGTGAGGTTAGTAAGGCAGAGTTCGTCCCCAGCTGCGGATCAGAACCACCAGGGGAGCATTTGAGAAATTCTCAGGCTCTGCCTCAACCCCTGAATCAGATTCCGGGAAAGCTCTAAAGGAGAGTCTGAGGCCCAGCTGGGGACCACCACAGCGAGGGAGGCTGCAGAACTTCACAGCAGGTAGGAAGGAGGAAGCGCCATGGATGTAAAGAAGGAAATGGAGCCAGGGACACAGGAACTAGGGAAGAGGGGAGCAAGCAGCCTTCAGCCTGCTGGGGTTCAGGGATCCGCTCCTTGGCCTGCCCCTCCTAAGACCGCCACAGCCACTCCGAAAACGTGCCAACATCTGCTCGGCAACCCGTATTTTCCCATTTCCCATGCCCCGTGAGGCTGTGGCTGCTCCTGCTGGGTGGGTTATGGGTCAAGAGCTGACTTGGCCATCCTCAGTCTGCAGGGCACTGAGTCCGCTGGGCCTTGGTGAGGAGGGTGGCCCAGGCCAAGCGGTCAGAGCGGCCTGGTGGGCCAAGGCTGTTGGCAGGCCACCGCTTTGAGTTCGGTTGCAATATTGAGTGTATAAAATGGAAATAGCAACACCTGCTTCACAGGCTTGTCAGGACTAAAGCAAACCAAGTTGGCCGGGGTGTGTGGTACAGACCCTGACGGTTAGATGCCACCACCATCCTGAAGCTGCTGTGTGCATGGGAGGGCCAGGCCCGAAGGGCTGCCTCACCTGGAACAGGTGGGAGGAGGAGATGAAGCCCCAGCAAAGGACAGAGCCCCTGGTTTTGGTCCGGCCAGGGCTGGAGAGCCGGCAGCCAACTGGAGCACCTCCCCCAAGGCTGCTCTGGTGGGGTTCTGCCTGGCTCACCTGTTGCCCGCTCTGTAGCAGTGGTGCTGACGGCGGCCCTCCCTCATTCAAACAGCTCCTGAGAGGGCCCCTTCTCCAGAAAGTCTTCCTCGACTCTGGAAGAAAGAGTAAACTGTGTTGTCCACATAAAGATGAAAAGTCCTGCAGTTGGACTTAACGGCTACATCGTTGAACTCCCATGTCGTCAACAGTGGTTTGAGTCCCAGAGCCAGTGGCTTAAACTCACGTCTGGCACGTATGCGTGTGTGCCCAAGATCCGAGAGGAGAATGGAGGAGAAGGGATTG